GGGGTGTGTGTGCAAAATTCCATGAGTTGCACCTAGCCTACATAATATGTAAAAAAAAAGAAGCAACCGTTTCTCCGCGATCGGCCCATGGCGTCAATGTCACTGTCCGACGAACGACAGGTCTGGCTCATTCATTACGTCAGAGCGGTGTCTTTGACATTTACGCAAATGCAGCGGCGGATTCAGAGTTGACTGCTAGCCATGTCAGTCTGTTTGCTTTGACGTAATAACATTGACCCTTTCACGTCACCTACTTCGAAGATGACCCAGCCGGTGGAGCCCCGTGGGTTTCTCAAAAGGCTTTAACATAATAAAAAAAACCCAAACGCCTCAGCTTTTACGTCACTTGCAGAACACACAGAACGGTCCACGGTATTAGCAAACTCGCCTTTGAAAGCTTCAGAAGAATAAGCCCTAACAGAACCTCAAACATACACGAGGAATTCTATTACCCTTGTACATAACTATCACACCACGCGGCTTTTTTCTTTCTCTTAAAGTTCTTTTCTTCGAGTGCTTTTCGAGACGTCTTTCAATTTTCGACCATAGACGTCGCAGCCGGCATGTATTGAATAATGCTTTACGTGCGAAGGAAAAAAGGGGCGTGTTACAGGACAAACCAAACAGCACATAATATGATATTACCACCGCACCCTTATTTTCTATTTGATGTCAATGCTACTGCTAGAAATCACACGGAGCAGAGCACACCATTTTTTTACGCCCCGCTTTATGGCGTCACAGCTGCGTTCCATTCACAGAAGTTGTCCAAACGATAGATCGATACAAACTACTAATACTTTTATTAGTTTAAAAAATTGGTGGTGGTGGTTTGGGGGGGGGGGGGTGAAGAAGGGAACTGCAAAGTGGGAAATAGGAAAACAGGAATGTAATGAACCTTCTGTCACGTACAGGACTACCATTTTACAAGTCCCAAATTGAAAAAAGGAGATTATTGAGAAAATTGCTACAATTTTCATGGTTTCATATTGATAAAAGCTTTTAGCACAAATATTATTTGTCTGTCAGTCTGTCTGTCTGTCTGTCTGTGGCTCCCATTTCCTGTCTGTCTACTTCTTTATTTCTCTTTGGATTTACTGTAACGATCCTAACGCTAGAACTAGAAGACGTAGGGCTGTCAAAAGGATACGGTCTAGTAAACAAACTCGTCAGACCATCACCGCGAGTATGTCTGCTGTCTACCCAGCGACCCGCCGGCGCACCATTCACAATTCTCCAGTTTCCGCTGCACTCCTTTGACATAACATGACATCCACAAAGACAAACGACGTCTCTCTCATCACTCATCATTGCACCGATGTCTTGTTCACAGCGTTACAGTAACTGGAACACGAGTTAAAACGTATCCCCCCCCCCTCTC